GGGGGGCGGCCAGGGGGCACGGAGCAGCATTACCTTTATTTATCCTATTTTAGGAACTTGAGCACAGCCTGCGGACCTCGCTGGGTTCCTCCCTGCTCCTGGATATTCTGCACAGGGTAAGGCAGAATGCTGGATGTCGCGGCGGTGCCCGGCTGCCTGGTGCATCTTCTGGGAGCTGAGCACCCGCTGTAGGTGGCTGGGTTTGCTCATCGTTCCGAAGGTCAGGGTCATGGCTTTTTATTTTGCCCGGCAGAACAGCAGGTTTCCTTCTCTTCCTGCTATTAGCTGTCCTTAGCATCAACATTAAGACTCATGTGCCTGAGCAGAGATGTGTCATCATAGAATCCCAAACTGGTTTGGGTTGGAAGGGATCTTAAAGCTCATCCAGTTCCAATCCCCTGCCACAGGCAGGGGCAGCCACAGGCAGGGACACCTTCCACTAGACCACGTTGCTCCAGGCCCTTGTCCAACCTGGCCTCGAACACTGCCAGGGATGGGGCAGCCACAGCTTCTCTGGGCAACCTGTGCCGGCGCCTCAGCACCCTCACAGGGAAGAATTTCTGCCTAAGAGCTCATCTCAATCTCCCCTCTGGCAGGTTAAAGCCATTCCCCCTGTCCTGTCCCTACAGGCCCTTGTCCAAAGCCCCTCTCCAGGTTTCTTGCAGCCCCTTCAGGCACTGGGAGCTGCTCTAAGGTCTCCCCTTAAGGAGCCTTCTCTTCTCCAGGCTGAACCAGCCCAGCTCTCTCAGCCTGGCTCCAGAGCAGAGGCACTTCAGCCCCTCAGAGCATCTTCATGACCTCCTCTGGACCTCTCTGGAAGAGAGAAAAGAGAAAAGCAGGAGGAGGAAGAGACCAAATCAGTCTCTCTTTCCACTTGGTTTTGCTGTTTACTTTTCAAAAAGAGGAAAATTACATTTTCTGCCGCAGAGCTGGAACTAAAAAAAGCAACCAGAAGTCACCCAATTTCCTTTCCTGGCTTAGCATTGCTTCTTTTAGTTACTAACTCGCAATGCACTTTGTGACACAAAGAGCCTGTTAAGAGCTCTGGTCTTTCCCCAACCTCTTCCTGTCTGGCATACCAGAAACTTGGTAACTGGTTTCAATTGCTGGTTTTGTTCTAGACCATTCTCCACCCTTTGTGTGTGAAATATCCCCCTTCAGCCCAGTACAGAAGATGCTTTCTAACTGAACTCATCAAAAAGGTAACGCTTGTTGTGTTCCTTCCAACTTAGTTATCTTTTTCCTTGAAAATATGCCAGTTTGACCTTATGTAGTAACAAACCACAGCATTCAGAGTAAAACATTATGGCAGAGTGTATTAGAATGTGACTTAATGTAGGTTTCCTGTTTCCCAACAATTTGCTCCCCAGACCCAGCCTGTTCTGTCTCCCACAGCATGAATCCACCACAGCTGAGCCCCTGGATGAACTGTACGATGCACTGGCAGCTATTTTAAATGAAGAAGAATCTACTCACTGTTACAAACACTACTTACTGGTAAGAACTAATGCTGCAGTGGTATAAATCACTTTAATCCCCTGAACTAAGCAATAATTTGCTTTAACAATAACCCCTGGAGCACTTCCTCCCTTCTCCCAGGTGCTAATATTGGTTGTAAACTGTAAAGCTCATGTCTGTGCTGATTAACCTTGGCTGCCTTGTGTGTCCCCAGCCTACAGGAGAGTATGTCACCCTCTCTGAGAGCATGGCAGTGATCTCTGGAGGAACCACAGGGCTCGTCACATGGGAGGCTGCTCTGCACCTCGCTGAGTGGGCACTGCAGAACCCCACAGGCTTCAGGAACAGGTACCGGCACCAGCATGGACAGAGAGATGGGGAGACAGGTTTCATAGTGTGAGCAAGCCACACAGCTGTAACTGAACAAAGTACTTCCAAAAGAAGGTATATTAAGTTACAGTGAATTTACAGACAGTGACTACACCCTCTGGCTGCTGGTAACTGCTGCTCCGGTCTGTTCTTGACAGTCAGATGTTAGAGTCAAACTTGAATCCAGCAGAGGACCTCACAATGCTTTTAAGACAGGTTTTAAGATCAAAGCTGTCACGCCATGTGGTCTGACCTGCTCTGTGGAGTTCGCTGCTCAACTTCAGCTACTGCAGTGCCTAGTGAGTAACTAGTGTGCTCACTGTGTGGTGAAGTTCATCCCATCTGCCTTTATACAGTCAATGTGCAGGTGCACACATCTGATCTCCTCCTCTGGGCTTTGTTTATAAGCAAGTGAGAGGAACAGGCACTTCTGAGGAAATATCTATCTAAATTAGTTTAAAATATGGGGCTCACAAGGAAAGGAACTGTGCTACCCAAGTGTCTGTTTCTCTCCACTGAGTATGAAAACAGCTTGGTTAGATCGAGACACCCATGCTGCAGAAGGCTAAAATCAGGTGGGAATGTCTCCCATCCCCATGGTGGGAATGCTTTGTACCACATGCCAGAGCAGTATTTCGAGTGATTCATTTTTATCCTTGCAATGGCTTCTTCAGTGTTCACCAACTGTCCCCATTATCTGGGACAAAGTTTAGACTGTAGGTGGTTTGATTTCCTAACTTCACTTAGAGTCCTGCTAAGTATGTCTTTACCCTTCAGGACAGTCTTGGAATTAGGAAGTGGGATCGGCTTCACTGGAATTGCCATCTGTAAAACCTGCAATCCCAAGACATACATATTTAGTGACTACCACCACCGTGTTCTCCAACAGCTGAAGGAAAACATCTGTTTGAATGGCTTTGTCCTGCAGCCTGAAGCTGCCCAGCAGATCCAGCCAGAATCTGGAGGCCAGGAGGCAGAAGGAACAAATCACCAAACCCCAAAAGTAGTTGTTGCAGAACTTGAGTGGGGCTCAGTTACAGAAAAACAGCTGTTGGCTCTTCAACCTGATGTCATCATTGCAGCAGGTACCTTCCTCCGTTTGTTCCTCATGGTGGGTGATCACACAGGCTAGAGAGGGAAGCACAGAGGTGTCTGTGTGCAGGATGTGCTCAGCCCTGTCTCAGTCAATGTGTCTGGAAGCATGTGGCAGATCTTCTTCCAGTCCGTTTCATCATTTAGTCTTTCCAGATGTTCATCAGCTGTGTACACAACATTAAAAAGCAAATTATTTATCCCTTCTACGTTTTAAGATCCAGAAACAGATGATAAATCCAACACTGCTCAGAGCCTCATCAATACTAACGGGCACTGATCCATACTAACAGACCATCTTGGCATTCTCTTGAGTGATAACATATTAAACAAACAAACCAACCCACCAAAAAGCCAAATCACAACTCCTTATTGGATCTTCCCTATGTATAAATCTGGAGGAAGCATATAAAAAATCTAATACTGCAAAACATAGCAAAAGTAACATTTCTGAGCTGTAGCTAGAGGATTTTACTCCCTGATCTGGGGCTTTGCAAAGCAAGAATTACCTAAGAATTCAAGTGAAACATGACCAAATATTCTGCCTTTGTCATTAAAGGTGTCACCTAATGCATTAAACGTGTGAATCTTAGAAAATACTCAGGGTTTGAGTGTTACCTCACACCAGCTGTACTGTACAGCCGAAGTACAGTAGTGGAGGTGATCAATACATATCTACTGTTTGCTGTTAGTATTTACTGAGGGCGCTCCCTTACTGCGTTGTATTAAGAGTTGTATGTACAACCACCTGAAAGGAGGTTGTAGCAAGGTGGCGGTTGGTCTCTTTTCCCAAGTAACAAGTGACAGGACCAGAAGAAACGACCTCAAGCTGCACCAGGGGAGGTTTCAGTTGGATATTAGGAACAATTTCTTCCCCAAAGGGTGGTCAGGCATTAGAACAGGCTGCCCAGGGCAGTGGTCACCATCCCTCGAAGTGTTCACAAACCATGTCAGTTTAGTGGCGGCCTTGGCAGTACTCGGGAATGGTTGGACTTGGTGATCTTAAATGTCTTTTCCAACCTGGCTGATTGTATGATTCTAAGAGTAACCAGTATGTCTGTTGGTGGTACATGCACATACCTCCACATTTTGCTGTAGTAACCACATCATCTCGAGTCTCAGTCCCTAACAGGGCTGACACATTTCAGGATCGTGGAGCTGGTCTGTAAGGCTGATGTTTTGTGCCCCTTCATCATCAGCCTGACCTTCCATCATTGTTTCTGCTCTCAGGGAAACAATTTGAGATGAAAACAGCTGCAGTTCAAACCAACTCCTTTTCAATCAGCCTCTAAAATACAGTTCGTAACAACCCAGTTTCTGCTAAGTACAGTTGTAGCAGAGCACCAACGCTCAGTGGTTTTGCTGTAGCATTGGGCTTAATTACAGTATCTGGCAGTCCCTTTATAAGAAGGAGCACTGATTTTTAGTGATTTTTGATGATATTGGAGATGAGGAAAATTGACATAGCACACAAAATAGAGGTGTTTTCTAAAAGCTCTTCTTGGGAATCTTTAACCCTGAACACAAAAATCATACTCTCTGGCAAGGTGACTATCTTATATTTTTGTTTTCATTCTGCTTTTTGCTCCATTCTCAAGAAACATGAAATATTTTCCTTTTTGTGCAGATGTGGTATATGATCCAGAGATCATTGGAGCCCTTGTTGGTCTGCTACAGCAACTCTCCACTTCCAGAGCAGACAGAAAACCTCCCGACGTCTACATTGCTTTCACAGTCCGGAATCCAGACACCTGTCACCTCTTCCAGGCTCAACTTGGTACGTGCCTTTTTCGTCAACAGTTTTTGCCTCTTTCCCCAAATAGAGATGAACAGGAGTGGGTTTTGGTGATGGGTATTGCCCAACAGTGAGGTTTTTATCCTAGAGCTGGATTTAAGAGTGCTCTGCCTAAAAGCAGTCCCTTTCCCACATGGATTTGCTGAGGAGGTGGGAACTTAGCTTTTTGCTCCATCCCATCTATCACAATTCATGTTTGTCAGTGCCAAACTGAGATGAATCCCAAGTGTGGTGGCAAAAGGGTTAAGCTTAAAGGAGGAAAACCTGCTGCACTGTCACAGTGATAACATTCAAGATGCAGCCTCAAACCTTTATCTTAACTGTTGAGGGTTAAAAAACCTCTTCATTAGGGACTCTTCATTAGGGACGGTAGTGGTAGGACAAGGGGTAATGGCTTCAAATTTAAACAGAGGAAGTTTAGATTAGCTATAAGGAAGAAGTTCTTTACAGTGAGGGTGGTGAGGCACTGGAATAGGTTGTCCAAGGAAGTTGTGAATGCTCCAGCCCTGGCAGTGTTCAAGACCAGGTTGGACACAGCCTTGGGCGACATGGTTTAGTGTGTGGTGTCCCTGCCCGTGGCAGAGGGTTGGAACTGGATGATCTTAGGGTCCTTTCCAACCCAAACCATTCTATGAAACCCACCTAGAGATTCAGTAGATGATCTTTAAGGTCCCTTCCAACCCTAACTATGATTCTATGAAGTACAATAGGGAGGGATTTGGGATTTTCCTTCACAGACTCCTCAAAAGCCCATCTCTTGCAGCCTCCCAGCGGTACAGCTGGTCTGCAGCTCCCAATTAACTCACAAAATCACACCTCATGAAGAGCAGAAGCATTGCTGTTCATGTTTAAGAACAGTTACTGGTAACCATTCACCTGTGCCTCACCCAAACAGCATGCTAGAGATCTTAGTACAAACTGGACATGCAGCCTTTGCTCTTCATTTTATGAAGCAGAAATCTGATTCCCAGCGTTTCTCCTTACAGATAAAGCTGAGATTGGGTGGCAGATTATTCCAGCCCACAGCAATCGTGTTTTCCTCTGTGATGTGCAGTCAAATGTAACTATTCTCCAGCTATTTATATAGACTTGGCAAATAGAATTCCAGTTTTCAGAGCAACAGGAGCTATCCCATCCTGGCAACAAGGTGATCTTGAGTTCTAGAGACTTGCAGGAGAGGCACTTAGGATACAACTCCACGCACAGGCTGTTGTCAAAGTGAATTACTGCTGCCCTTAAAGGTACCTGGGAACCTTGAGCAATAGGAAAACCAGCCTTGATCATACTGTTCTCTGGTTCTGGAGAAGACAACAGAATTGAACTGGATTTCTTTGTCCGACCATGTTTTGCTTTCTAACAGAGGCACATCTGCAGGACCACAGGATGAGTATCTCACACTGACAAGGGAGCAAAGCAATGCTTCACTGGAATAAATATATTTTTAATATTAAAACCAGCTGTAATGGTCTGTGTCTTTTTATGCTTGTTTGTATGCACCTGTGTACTTGCAGTCTGGGTCATCTTAAAAATTAGTAATATAAACTGCCTACAGTGAATGTAGCAGATATTGCCAGAAGCTGAGAGAGGAGGTAAATCAGGTGCATCTTTACTCTGCAGTGGTAACATAAACTTGATTCATATTCCTGTCACATAAGGACTGTCACTTTCACAACTAGCTGTTGGGAAACCATCCTCTCAGACTGTCCAGAAAGCAAAACCAGAATCATACACTGTATCCCTGCTCTGTGTGGAGGAGGAAAAACTGAGCTCACCTTCTCTGAAGCTTTCCATAATCCATTTATCATTTTCCTGTTGGATGCTAATAGTCCTGAAGCACAGCATGAAACATGCTGCTCTTTCTCCTCTTTTGACTTCGTTTTCTTTGCCTTGTTTTAAAAGCTACTCAAAAGAACAAATACTTTCACCTCCTCACTCTGTAGGAATAGAGAAAATGGACGATGGGTAACTTGAAACTTGAATCATCTTGAGCAAGAATCATCTTGCTCCTCAAGCTGAAGGAGGCTATGACTACTACTAGTAAGTGGGATGTGCAGAAAGAACCCCACACAGGTTTTAACTACCTCTTCCCAAGAAGGAAGAATTCACAGGTGCTATTTCTGGAGTAAATGTGTGTTAGCAGTCCCCAGGGGAGCTCCTTTATCTCCCTAACACAAAATTCTTCAAGTCACTTAAAGTTCTGTACAGGTGGCTTGTTTGGATCTAAAAAAAAGCATTATGGAAAGGTGAAACCTCTCTAAAGCTTTTGGCATTACTGTTTAATTAGGGACGTGCTTAATTTATCGCTACAGGGGAATGGCCAAACCACTGGAGAAGATTTTGCTTGAAAACCAATACCTAAAGGGACTACAGGAAATCTGGAGAGGGGCTTTGGACAACACTTGGAGTAACCTGGCCTAGTGGAAAGTGTCTGTCCTGAGTTCAGCTGTAGCAGTCATTTTTCTCCTTCTTAGTAGCACTCATGAAGCAAAGTGCGCTTTTATTAAGTTATACAGACTTTAATAATACACTTTGGGTTTATTTTGTCCTTTTCTAGTCACCTGTTCAAAAAGGGAAGCTTTTGATGTTCTTTCTCACAGTAAATGGATGCAATCGCTTCAGTGTACAAGGACAACACTCACTGAAAGGTCTCTTTTCCTCGAAGTGCTCCATAAAGCTGTCACATACCAGTGGATGTGCTTTCACCTTCTTGAACATGCTGTAAAAAAGAAAACAACTTCGAAACAAAATGGTTCTGTCTCAATAAATCATACAAGAGAATAGTCAGAGCTCATCTAGGCAAGACGAGCCAAGAATCCTTAATGATCTTTAGGGTCCCTTCCAACCCAAACATTCTATGGTTCTGTGATCTTAACTGGTTGGAAAAATAGAATCCCCACTGTACCCTCAGCTCGAGTAATTTTAATAAAGGGCATTTCCCACTTGGAAGAAAACATACCCACATCACCTTCTAGAGTGCTTACTGTACAAGAGGCCTATCTGCTAATAGTTCTCTAAGTATCTTCACCAAAAAGTGACCTTTAAGCAGCACAGGTAACAGATTTTGCACACAAGTTCCTAGAGCAACTAAACCTCTCTCCCACTTTCTAAAGATTCATCCAAAGGGGTAAGGAAGGAAGGGCAGTGCAGATGGCAAGGCTCAAGCTCTCCAGCATGGGACTCACGTCTTCCCTCAAGACTTAATGCTATCGGCACACAACAGCCAGCCTCAGCTGCACTGTCAGCATGAGTACTCACACAAGGAGCTCAAATGGTAAAGGAAGAGGTGTGTGCAAACACTGCTTCCAAGATGAAGTACTTAAAAACTGCAACTATAGCCAATACAAAGTGTTTATTCACTGTTGAGCAAATCCAGGCAGCTCCAGGAAGGGATCAGCTTTTTTGACACCCTCCTCCCCACAAAAAGTCAGTCATTCTGCCCAAGCAAAGGCAGAACAGTCTGGTCCCAGCTCTCATCCCAGCGCAGCTGCTTGCATGCACGGAGGTTTTTCCTGAAGCTGTGAAGTTTGCCTTCCAGGGTAGGGAATTCCAAGAAAAGCATCTGTAAGTTTAAAAAAAAAGAAAAAAAAAATGAAAAGGAAGAAAAAAGAAAACCACATTAAAATACCATCATATTACATTTTAGGCTCATTCTAGCCTCCCCAAAACAAAACTTGAACTACAATGCTGCAGGAAGAGAGCTCTCTTAGGTCTGATCCTACGAATGGTGAACAGTGACAACATCTAAACCAGCTTCAGATTCATATTCAAATAGAAGTGAAGGCAGTAACATTCACCAGGCAAAGCCATGTACTCTGAGAATGCAAACTGCAAAGGTGACAGCACATATCGAAGGGCAGTTCACATGGTGGCACCTCTGCACTTACAGCTAGTGGGAAAGGAAAACCAGTCAGGCCTTTACCTTTAGTTGTTCCGCAAGTTCATCCGAGTCCCTGAATATCAGACCATTTTCATCATGCTTCACAAGCTCATGTAAACTGTGAACACAAGTCACAGAAGAAAATGTGGGAAAAAAGCAGGGAGCGGTGCATACACAATTAAAAAGTGGCCCAGTGACACCAAAAGAGATCATCACTCAGGATGTTTGGATACGAGCTTCACACCTGACAAGGTGTGTGCTTGAGCCCAGAACCCCCCCATGTGCTGGGCTGCACCCCCAGAGCGCGAGCAGCAGGTCAAGGGAGGAGATTCTCCCCCTCTGCTGTGCTCTGGGGAGACCCCCCCCTGCAGCCCTGATCCAGCTCTGGGGCAACAGGACGTGGAGGGTGGCAACAACACAAGGGGGATGTGAAGCTGCTGAAGCCAGTCCAGAGGAGGCCACAGAGATGCTATGAGGGCTGGAGCAGCTCTGCTCTGGAGACAGGCTGAGAGAGCTGGGCTGGGTCAGCCTCAAGAAGAGAAAGCTCATTATAAGGGGAGACCTTAGAGCAGCTTCCAGTGCCTAAAAGGCCTACAGGAAACCTGGAGAGGGGCTTTGGACAAGGGCCTGTAGGGACAGGACAAGAGGGAATGGCTTTAACCTGACAGAGGGGAGAGTGAGATGAGCTATTAGGTAGAAGTTCTTCCCTGTGAGGATGCTGAGGCGCTGGCCCAGGTTGCCCAGAGAAGCTGTGGCTGCCCCATCCCTGGCAGTGTTCAAGGCCAGGTTGGACACAGGGGCTTGGAGCAACGTGGTCTAGTGGAAGGTGTCCCTGCCCATGGCAGGGGGTTTGAACTGGATGAGCTTTAAGGTCCCTTCAACCTCAAACCTGTCTATGATTCCTTGAACACAGAATGAAGAAGGCAGCTTTAAACATTTAAATTCAGAGTGTTTCTCCCTTCTATGTCAGGATATTTAAATCTACCATTACACTACAGAAGGACTCTCACTCTGTCTTTGGGCCACTCATCTTGACAAACATTAAAAATCAGGGCAATAACTTACTTTAAAATCAACCCAGAAGGAAACATCTGTCTATAGGCCAGTTCATGAGACCCTTACAGAGTATTTGTCTTCCTTTATTAAACTTCCTGCTTCCCTAAAGGCCATAAATCATGACTAAACACACACACACTCCTCCCTGCACAGAACACAGACACATCTGTGCAGAAGGAAGCTTCTTTTTAAAGGAACTACATGGAAGCAAAGGATTACAGGGTAGTTACTTTTTTAAGGCATATGGTTGCTTTAAATGCTCCCAACTTTGTAGAAACTAGTGTTAATTCTTAAACTTAAAATAAAACAACCTTTATTTCCAATTTGTTGAATAAAACATGATTGTGGTGTGATTCTGGGATCGCATCTGATACATGCAGCAGCTACTGAACTCCTGCTTTGTATAAATGCTGCTTTCCATCATCCACTCACAGTGTAGCAGCACAAACAAGCTCTTACCATTCAAAATGTATTGCACACACAGGTAAACAACAGCCAAACATGTCTACCACCTTCATGGGTAAATCCAAACCACTGGATGATTTATGGAGACACACACCCAGGTCTGCTGAGCCTGCAAAGCAAAGAGAAGAGAGGAGAGGATGAAATCCCCACAGCAGCTCTGCCAGTTTACTGCAAACCTGTCTGCTTCTGTGGGTGACATGAGCTGAACCTGAGCTACCTTCAGCACCATCCAGACTGACTCCTTTTCAAGCATGTGGAGGAGGGAAAAAAGCACAATATATTTTGTGACTAACATTAGTCAGGCTTTAGAAACACACCTGGGAAGTGCATGTTAAATTCCAGGGAATTTTAACATTTCAGGTATCTTAAGTCAGCCTTTCTGCCTCCTCACCTGCAAAGAAGGGTTAAGAGCCCCGGAAACCACCACTACAATCCACAGGAGATCACTGCACGGCTCACTAGCGACCTCTTCCAGCACAAGTGGTTTCAAAAAGGCATTACAGTGTGATTTTGTTAGTTAAAAGTAGCAAGTAACAGCGTTTTACAGCCGCAGAAATTGGCAGGCTCTAAACCCTGCAGAATCTTACTACTTTACTAAGCTTACTCACACTTTACGCTAATACAATGAACATGCTGAGTGAATACCATTCCAAAGATGTGTCAATTGAGAATTTCAACTACTTTTGGTTTCCCAACCAAGAACTTTATGATTTCATGTACCCTGAAGTGTCAACTGGAAGTGACCCTGAAAGTCAACTGGAACGTCCACGGCACACTGTATTTCAGCCCAGTTAGAAGAAACAAAGAGTACAAAGAACAGGCTAAAAGAGAAACACAGGTACTACACCTACTTCTTGGGATAACAGTGAAGAACTCTAGTTAGAGAAATTTAGCTGGCACAAGTTAAACCCACAAATACCCCACCACTAAGCAGCAACTTCATTCACTGTATTCTACTAACTCCTGTGCAAAGTCTCTTCAGCTCTCTGCAAATGTGCTGAGTAGTTTCTCACACATTCTCAAGCCTATTTCATAATCCACTATTTACCAAGCAAAAGAGGGTAATCCTCAGCTTCAAGCCATGGTGTACAGATCTGGATATGTTTGAAGTGCAGCTTGTTTATCAGTCCATTGTAGTAGTCTTTTAAAGGTCCTTTACCTGTTTAAAAACAGAAAAAAATACATACAATATTTAACAATATGACTGAAAATACCGTGGACTGTGCATCTAACTGTACAGCTACAAACTCCTGTTGTATCAGGTACCCAAAAAGATAATATACAGTCTTCAAAAAGGCATGTAAAAACATGTCCTCTTTAAAGCTATGCGAACACAGACTTCTCTGTTACTCAGTATTTAGAAGAATCTGCATCAATACAGAATCAGCTGGGTTGGAAAAGACGCTTAAGATCATGGAAGTTCCACTGTTAACCCGACATTGTCCAGTCCAATAAACGATGTCCCTAAGAGCCACATCCACACATCTTTTAAATATCTCCAGGGACAGTGACTCCACCACTGCCCTGGGCAACCTGTGCCAATGCCTGACCACCCTTTGGGGAAGGAATTATCCCAAATATCCAGTCTAAACCCCCCCTGGAACAAATTGAGGCCGTTTTCCTCTCATCCTACCGCTATGTTACTCAGGAGAAGAGACCAGCCACCTCCCAGTTCCATCCTCCTTTCAAGTAGCTGTAGAGAGCGATAAGGTCCCCCCTGAGCCTTCTCTTCTCCAGACTAAACACCCCCAGGTGCCTCAGTTGTTCCTCATCACACTTGTGCTCCAGACCCTTCACCAGCTCCATTGCCCTTCTCTGGACCTGCTCCAGCAACCTCAATGTCTCTCTTGTAGTGAGGGGCCCAGAACTGAACACAGGATTCGAGGTGCAACCTCACCAGTGCACAGTACAGAGGGATGACCACTGCCCTGATCCTGCTGCCACAATGGTGCTGATCCAGGCCAGGAGGCTGTTGGCTCACCCCCCCCCCCCATCCCTTTTCCATGGCCTGTTTCCCAGCCACTCTTCCCCAAGCTTGGAGTGCTGCATGGGGTTGTTGTGACCTAAGTGCAGGACCCGCACAGTACAATTTGCCCTTCAAAATCACACTAAGTTTTAGTTTGATCTTAATGAGAAAGGTAACCAAAGAACATTCACTCTGTCTATATAATTGTCCTGGGTTCAGCTACAGCAGTCATTTTTTCCCCTTCTTAGTAGCTGGGG